TAGACTATTCTCTCCCCCATAGACTTCAATGCCGTAAACATATTTCATCCAGTTTTTCTCAGTCTTACCCCCACCCCAATGCCAGTCTCATTCTACAACAGTGGCACCATATAGCATTTGTCCCTTTGTGACTGAGATACTATGCTGCATTGAAAAACAAGGAAATCATGCAATATTATTCAAAATGGGTGACCCTGGAGGACATTATGCTGAGTGAGGTATCTCAGTCACATAGAGCACTTCTTAAATATGTGTGCCTTAATTTAGGGCTTCTTCCTAGCTCCTCTGAGGAAATCAGTTCTCCTGGCCTTCCTACAAATGGTCACAGACACTTACACTAAAACAGCTGCATAAAAATCAAGAAGTCTAGAATTTATTTTGCCATGGTTTCAAGCATTCCAAGAAGAATGGGAAAACACATTTCTGTTGTTTTTGTGAGGAATAGCTAATTCAGAAGTTTTCTTTGAAATGAAACAGCACAGTTGAAAATCTAAGATGGTAATTTCCATTTCATTAATTATCCATCCCAAGAATGTTATTGTTATATGTCATTGAATCAGAAGCAGCTGATGGATTGGAACCACGTCTTTGGGCTGATAGTATTAACTCTTTACAACTAAGACACCAGAGCTCCCTATCCCAAAATGAGAGACCTCCAAAATTTCCCTAATGACTCTGCAACTGGTGACTTGAACTTTGTGGGGAGCACTGCAAATCAAGGGGCTCTTTCACTGCAACAGCAAGAGGACATGGTATCATTTATGGGGAGTCCTTCCAATTTCAATTGTTCCTATGGTATTTATACTTTCTGCTGACTAAATTCATGTCTAATAAGAACTGCTGCACAATAGTTTTCTTTTCTTTTTCATTTTAATTCAGATGTGCTAAAAGTCAGTCCTGAACATTTGTCTTTTTGCTTGATCCCAAGTCTTGAGGCTAGGGGCAATACCAGAATTATTGTTGTTGTGTTGTTAGGTGCCACTGAGTCTTAGACAACTTATAGTGACCCTATGAATGGAAGACCTGACCACTATTCATAGAGTTTCTGGAGGCAAGCCATTTTGGAAGTGGATGTCACTCCTGCTTCCAAGCTTGTTTTAACCAGGAAGCTCCACCAAACACTACCATGGGTAACCATTATCACATTTGGCACATCAGTGTCACAATGTTTAGCATCACAGCAACCACAAGTTACCTCTATACAGCAATGCACAGACAAGTGCTATACCACCTAGAAGAATGTTTCATCAAAAACCAATTTGAATAGAATGTAAAAAAAAGAATAGGCATGAAAACTCTTTATTTCTACTTTCTAAAATAAAAGTCCACCATACACCAATAGTTAATATTGCATTTTCTAGCAGTTCACTACCACTGAAAAATACAATTTATCATTACTCAAAAGAAACTGCAAGTATCTTTGCTAGTTTAGAAAACTATTATAAAATTATCTTTTATCTCTCTGCTTTATTTCTGAGATCTCCTATCAAGATTGCTTCAGCCTACAAAGTAATGGCAAGCCACCTTACTCTATTAAAGTGAAGAGAAACGTCCTGATGATTTCTTTATGCTTAGAAGTTGTTATGCTATTATAGTTTCAATTGCTTTATGTATAAGTGAAAAGTAGATAATGAAGAATTAATGCTTTTGAACTACAGTTTTGGTAAAGAATACAGGATATACCCCTATTGCCAAAAAACAGACTATCTTGGAATATGTGAAATCAGAGTGCTTGGAAAGGTTTTGTCTCACTTCTTATGGACTTGTTATGAGGAGCAGTCAGTCCCAAGAGAAGAACATCATGCTCGGAAAAGCTCAAAGTAAGCAAGAGCATGGAAGACCCTGGATGAAACGGATTGACACAATAGGCATAAGGCTTTTTGTTCTGTTCTTACAGGGTCATTGCGAGTCAGAGTCAACTCCAGGAAACCTAACAACAACTAGTAAAAAAGCAAAAAAGAGGAGATGTGATCACTAGTTACTTAATTCAGAATACTGATATTTCTAAAAATGAATGTAGACATTCATTTATGTAGACATATTTTATCAACTAAAGCATTTTGCACACATTCTGAACATCCACTCTAAGAAGAATCCCTCAGATAGGGATTTTTAACAGACTCCTGAAAATAGATTCTAGGCCATTCCATTGAAGCCAAGTCCAAATAAATTAATACACAGATCCTAAATGCCCTTAGAGAGTTTATCCATATGATTATTTTCAGTAAAGATAATCTTGAGTGTGTTTTCTATAAAAGATATTTGCTTCTATTTTGTTTTAAAAAGTATTTGTTGGAGAGGTTTGTCTTCTTTGTTTCTTCTAGAACTTGGAAAGTAGAGAAGGGAAGTATAACTGTTGATAAATACTAGTAATGGCTATACTTGTTGTGTGCCTTCCAGTTGATTCTGATTCATAAAATCCTTTGGACAGAGCAGAATTGTACCATAGGGTTTCCAAGGCTGCAATCATTACAAAAGCAGATTGTCTTATCTCCCTCTAGCTGAACCACTAGTGGACTCAAACTGTTAAAATTTTGATTATCATCCAAGCAGTAATCATTGTGCTACCATGATTCTAATTACTGTAAAACAGGATAATGTCTTTTATTTTAATACATTTTTATAGCTCAGACCGTATATTTTGCTATTAGGTGCTGTCAAGTCCAGTACAATACATAGTGACCCAATGAAGAAGAGATCTGAACCCTATCCTATTCTGTGCCATCCTCATACTTTTGGACACACTAGAGCCCATTGTGGCAGTCTGTCACCATGTCAATCCACTTAGTTGAGGGTCTTCCTCTCCTTCGCTGATCCTCTGCCCTTCCAAAAATCATGTCCCTCTCCAAGGAATAGCCCCTCATAGCCACATGCCCAAAGTATGTGAGGCAAAGTCTCAACATTTTTGCATCCAAAGAGCACTCCAGCTGCACCTTCTCTAAGACATATTTGTTCTTTTGGCAGTCCATAGGATATTCAGTGCTCTTCTCCAACAGCTCAAAGGCATTGATTCTTCTTTTGTCATCCTTTATCACTGTCCAGTTCTCAGATGAATAGTCAAGTGATCAAAAAAACCATGGTGGTATAAGATGCACCTTAGTCCTCAAGTTGACATCACTATTCCTCAATAATTTAGAGAGGTCCCTAATTGCAGATTTTCCCAATGTAAGTAATGTGTCTACTTATTTCCTGACTGCTAGTACCAAGGGTGTTAATTGTGGATATAAGTAAGATGACGCTGTTGACAGTTTCAATCTCTTTGCCATCCACCATGATGTTGCTAATCAGTCCAGTTGTAAGAATATTCTTATTGAAGTCTGCATTCCTTGATCTTCTGCAACATGTGCTTCAAGTCCTCTTTACTTTCATCAAGTAAGGTTGTGTTATTTGCATAATCAATAATATTGATGAGTCTCCCTCTGATCCTGATGTCATATCCTTCTTGATAGAGTCCAACTTCTCTAATAATTTGCTCACAATATAAACCGAATAGGTATGGAGAGAGAATACAAACCTGATACACACTCTTCTTAATTTTAAATCATGCATTGTTTCCCTGCTCTTTTCACACAACAGCCTCCTGATCCAGGCAAAGCTTTTGCATATGATCTTGAATTGATTCCATCTGATTTCAAGATAATCTTAGGAACAGGTTTGTGGTATTGAAAACCAAATATCGAAGATTATGGGATAATATCAAGGATATGATCCACAAAGAAAGCAAAAAATTACCTTTTCTATGAAGAAGTTGCCAAAAGTGAAGAAGGAAGCCCCTGCCCCTCCCAAAACTGAAGCCAAAGCAAAAGTGTTAAAGGCCAAGAAGGCAGTCCTGAAGGGCATCCACAACCAAAAAAAAAGAAAATCTGTATGTCACCCACTTCTGGCAGCCAAGATGCTTAGACTCTAAAGGCAGCCCAAATATCCCTATCAGAGCACTGCCCCTCTCCCCAAGAAACAAGCTTGACCATTATGCCATCATCAAGTTTCCCCTGAACGCTGAGTCAGTCATGAAGAATATATATGATAACAACATACTTGTGTTCTTTGTGAATGTCAAGGCCAACAAACACCAAATCAAACAACCTGTAAAGAAGCTCTATGACATTGATGTGGTCCAGGTCAGTATCTTTATTAGATCTGATGGAGAGAAGAAGGCCTATATTCGACTTGTTCCTGACTATGATGCCTTGGATGTTACCCACAAATTTGGGATCATCTAAAGCTGGAGTGCTCTTTGGAGTCAAGAGTTATGAGGCTTTGTCTCACATACTTGGATATGCTTCTAGGAGGTGCTATTCCTTGGAGAGCATGATGTTAGGAAGAGTGAAGGGTTAGCGAGGGAGAGGTGGACTGATGCAGTGACTGCTTCAGTGGGCTGTTGTGAGTCAGGAAGTGTGAGAACGGCACATGATAGAACAGAGTTCAGATCTTTTGTTCATAGGGTTGCTATGAGTCAAGCTCAACTCGATGGCACATAACAACATAATAACAACAACAAACTGAGTCCTGTTGGCTAATTCTATATAAAAATTTTTCTCACCAAAGAAAAAAAGACAAAAGGCATATAGAGGAGAAAGGAAAAAATAATGAAATGGATGTCAGAAGAGACTCTAAAAAATGGACTAGAGTATTGAAAAGCCAAAACAAAAGGAATCTATGCTGAAGTAAAAGAGGGGAACAGAAGATTTCAAAGGGTAGCTAGATAGGACAAAGAAAAGTATTATAATGGAATGTTCAGAGAGCTAGAATTGGAGAATAAATAGGAAAGAAGTCGCTCCACATTTTCTTAAGCTGAGAGAACTGAAGAACAAATTTAAACCTCAAGTCTCAATACTGAAAGATACTATGTAAGATATTGAATGACCCA